TTTGCCAAAGGCCCCCTGGCCCCCGGCGGCGTCCTCGGGGGCTGCCGCCAGGGAGAAGCTACAGGCGGGCGGCCAGCCAGCCCTGAAGGGACTGGGGCCAAGGCGTGTTTAGAAAGGATCGGGAATACAGCTTTGCTCTCGCTCCTGGAAGACGCGCCCTGACCGCTCGCCGCCGGTCTGCTTCATAAAAGGCGAAGAGAGGCCTGGAATGGCGGCTCCAGGGGCGATTCTGTGCCAAAACATCAAAGGCCCCTTTCCCTTTACATGGGGAATGTGCTTCAGATGCGATGCTGAAGGTGGAGAGCGCCCTATTTTTCGACCAGCATGTTGTGTTTTATTTACAGACCTGTAAAAAGAGGAAATTCTCTTTCTGCTGCCACAGCAAGGCGTCTTTATTAAAAATGAATTGCAGCCCCTTCCCGGTGTCTTTGTGGCCTTCTTCGTGGCAGAGAGTTCAGGTGGGCGGCAGCTCCAGAGGCCTCCCAGAAAGAAGGGTGGGTGGGAGCCATCAGCGGCACTGACTGGCTCCGCTGGGTGAGGTTGCCGGCCCCCACCGGGTCCCCGTGGAGGCTCCCGAACGTGCCGTGGACCTCCGGGATGCTGGGGCTGCCAAACGACGACAATGCCACGCCGGAGCTCAGCAGGTTGGTCACCGGACAGATGGTGCTTCTGCTCACGTTGCACTGGTGGTGAACGGCGGGACTGATGCTCCGGCTGCTGGTGGAAGGCGTGCCTTTGCTGTTGAAAAAAATGAGTATATAACAGTGGTTACCATCATTAAAACAATTATACTTATTATGATGGCCCTTAACCCTAAATCCTACCTGGTCTTTCAGTCCTCCTTGTTATGCACCGTGCAGCACAGGCAAAGGTAAAAGTTAAATGATGCGTTGGACAAGCCTTTTCCCATGTGGCGTGCTGTGGCGGTTTCCCCTCAGGACCTCCGCCGCTGAGGGCTCCAGGATCAGCTCCGTTGCTAGAGATGTAATCTCCATGCTGGACGGGGGAACCTGGTGGTGAAGAAAGCGTCCCTTTGCTGTTGAAAAGAATGAATATATAACAGTGGTTACCATTCTTTAAAAAATTATACATAAAAATTATGAGGACCTTAACCCTAAACCTTGCCTGGTTTTTTTAGTCCTCCATTCGATGCACTGGACATATACAACATAGATAGAGATACATACTGACAAATCCCCCCCTCCGCGGCCTCGGTGGGCAGGTTGCGGGTGACCCCCCCCCCCGTGGCCTCGGTGGGCGGGTTGTTGGTGAGGAGTGGCCTGGGGGTCGCGCCTGGCGTGGGTCGTGAGGGCGAGGGATGGCGGGAGCAGGGCCCTGGAAGAGGAGAGCACGGGTGTGGTGGTGGAGGGGGAAGGTTCTCTCCACAAAAGAACGTAATTCAGTTCTCCTTTATTACCTTGACAAGATATTACCTTGACAACTGTCCTGGCCTGCCTTACGGGGTGTCCTCTCCCCCCCCCCAATTTCTGTCCTCCCTTTTCTCCCCAGGGGACAAACCCATTCACTCACTCACTCACACACACACACACACACACACACAGAGAGAGAGAGAGAGAGAGAGAGAGAGAGAGAGAGAACAAATACAGTGTTAGTTTTTTTAATTATGCTAAGAACTACATATACTATACTAAGGTTCCCCATCTGTAAGTCAAGGGTCCACTGTATACTATACTAAGGTTCCCCCCCACACACACAGCTGGTTCCGGGTCACAGGGGAAGGTAGAGGGTGACAGCTGGTTGCGTCATAACCTTCATTCATTCATGGCTGTCTTCAGCTTGCCGGCCGCTGCCACTCCCCCCCCCCATCCGCCACTGGGTTCTCGTCGATGTGCTAGAATGTTCCACCGCCGCATGCACAGGCTGTTGGAAATCGAAGATGGTGAGCCCCCCCCCCCCACATCCGCCGCTGGGTTCTCGTCAAGGTTCCGGAACGCGATGTGCTAGAACGTTCCGCCGCAGGCACAGGCTGTTGGAAATCGAAGATGGTGAGGCTTCTGGTGGTAAAAGGCTGTTCCTGCTGAAAAGAAATGAACATATCACAATGGTTAACATAGTTATACACTACTTAAAACTTACCAAGCCCTTAACCCTGAGCCTTCTTACCTGGTGGTTCACTCTTCTTTCTTCCGGTGGTCGTGCACTATATAAATGAAACATAGGCAACAATAGAGGTGGCGCACGCGCTGTATAAATCTTCTAGGGACAGGCTTGTGGCGGTGGCGGTGGTCATTCCCCCTCACGGTCTCTTCCGCCTCTGTGGTCACCTCCAGGAGCTCTGCATGGAAAGGTAGACGGTGGTGGTGGTGCTTCTGCTCAGGTTGCTCTGGCGTGGACGGTGGGACGGACCCTCCAGAAACTGCTGCCGCTGGCGGAAGGCGTGCCTTTGCTGTTGAAAAGAATGAGTATATAACAGTTGTTAACATCATTTAAAAAATTATACTTCTTATGAAGCCCTTAACCCTAAACCTTGCCTGGTCTTTCCGTCCTCCTTGTCATGCACCGTGCAGATGCAGCACAGGTAAAGGTAAAAAGGTAAAGGATGCCTTGGACAAGCCTTCCCCCAAGTGGCGTCCTTTGGCGGTTTCCCCTCAGGACCTCATAATTTTTATACTTAAAAATTATGAAGACCTTAACCCTAAACCTTGCCTGGTGTTTTTTTTAGTCCCCCATTCGATGCACTGGACATATACAACATGGATAGAGATATATACTGACAGCCCCCCCCTCCGCGGCCTCGGTGGGGGGGCGGGTTGTGGGTGAGGAGTGGCCTGGGGGGTCGCGCCTGGTGTGGGTCGTGAGGGCGAGGGATGGCGGGAGCGG